TTAAATTAAATTAGTTCCTAAAACATAGGAAGAACAAAAATTAGTTCCTAAGTACAATATAATGAACCTGCTATTGGTATAGAGCCTTTGAGATCCTGAACTGCTTTATTGCCCAAGATGGCTTCCCAAACACCTTTATCACATGAAATGGACACCACCATGGACTGAACAAGTCAAATTAGCCAGGGAAAAGTCACATTAAATTAAATTAAATTGAGGCTTAGTGTAGTATTTTAGAATTTATTTACATACTATTTGATAGCTAAACATTTGATGATATCATTTTTGCAATAATAACCCTTCAAAAGAATGGGAGAATAGTTATTTCATTTGGCACCTGAAAAGATGGTTCTTTTTGCATCATAGAGTAAACATCATGAAATTTGGCAAATCCAGGAGCTTGCAGCATATGGGCCTCATTACCATTGGTTGGGCTGAGGCTGTGAAGCCCATTGGGATCAGGTCCAGAAGTTTGAAGGCCTTGCATGAGCCTGAGTATAAAATATTAGATTCATAGTATATGATCAAAACATTAGTTCCCAAGGCATGAGAAAACCAAGAACATCACAATGTTTTTGGTTCAATTTTACTTATTTATTGGGCATATGAATGACCTAAGTCAACCATTCCAATACAAAGAGATTAGGTTTTCAAGGGTGCCTAAAGTAGATTTAAGGTAGATTAAGCTTATTTTCTTATTGTCACATGAACTATTAAATATCAATTTTTTACACGAGTGTACGAGCATCTTCATTGTCTAGGTCTATTTGAGAAATTTTTCACCGCCACATAGAACTTCATACCTTTTGTATTAAAAATCATCCCCAATACAAACAAAATAAGAATAGATTTAGATTATGTGGTGTGAAAAAATGAACCATAACCCTACTTTGACCCATTTTAAGACATATCTCGACTCAATATCTCCCCATAAAAATTATCATTTTAATAAAATCATTAATATATACTTGGTTGAATCATTTTAGACTCGATTCAAAACATTCAATGGTCTATTTTTCTTTGAATTCTGCAGATCAAGTCAAAACTTAATTCTATTACTATGATAATTAAGTAAAATTAAACTCAAACCATTGTGGATGCTTTGCAGAAATCTACGAACATTTACAATTTTTCAATATCCTGCAGTCTAATTAACATTTGATTTTTAAATCACCCTAAATTGATATTATTTTATGCACGATCCAAACCAGGTTCATTGTTCTAGTAACTACAAAATGAGTAGCAACAAATTCGACTCTAGTGGGTAGTGCCGAACGGATTTTAGCCGTCAGATTTCACACAGTCACAGATCTGACGGTTAAAACTGCGTAGCACGTATGCCAAACAGATATTATCCACCACCTAAAATAATTATCATCAAAATACAATCAAAGGAAGCAAAACACATTAAAAAAAAAATATTGAATCTTTCACCTATGGAGATCAATAATGGCCCTATCAACTTCAGCTCGAGTTGGAGCCGACCCAAATCTGCAATCGCCGTTATTTTGGGAGATTTGTTGAGTTCCGCCGTCAGCAGCCGCCGGTGAGACAGCGGTGTGTAAGTTTCTGGCGGCGCCAATGAACGGCGGCCTTGTGGCGGAGGAGATGGGTTTGCCGGTGAACATGAAGCCTCCACCCATGTTACGTGTGATCGAGAACTAATCTTTAGTGGAAAATAAGAGATTCACAGTGATCAATGATTATTTTACTGTGTGTCTTTCTTTTCGGTCAAGCAACGCAATTTTCTATATTTTCTCCTCTTTTTAATATACTACAAGATATTATATATATTACTATTTGGTGAAAATTAAAATGCAAATAAGTCATTCATAAGTTATATACTTTAACAAAAAAAAAAAAATTAGTTTTGATAATTGAATTTCACATGTTTTCTCTATTTTTAATATGTTCTAATACATTTATTATATAAATGATTTTATTTATGTATGAATGAACAATTATATCATTGTCAATTTGACATGATTCTTAATTTTTGCTTGCATAAGGTTCAGGTTAGAATCGGGCTACGGATCAGAGAGTGGAAACCGTGCTGCTAGTAAATGTATTACAAACAAAATTTCTCTTATTTAAAATCACACTTTTTTTTTAATGAAAGTCAATATTTTTATACCCGACGCGATACCTGGGCTATCCTCTGGGTCATCAAGTCACTGATTCAACGGCTCGATTATCGTGTCAATTGCTGAACCGATTAATTAATTTTAAAATTTTAAAATTATATATGCTATTTTTATGATATAATATATTTTAACAAAAATAAATAAATTTAATTGTAAATTTTATACATTAAAGTGTTAACTATATTATATCTCATAATAAATATTTACTACATAAATATATATACATAAATTTTATCTTTAAAATAAAAAATAAAAATAAAAATTATAGTGGCCAGGTCAAACCCGGTTTAACTCGGCTGGGTCGATGTTCGGGTCGACCGGGTCATGGGCAGTTTTGACCGGATCCATTGTTAACCGGTGTGAAGCGCCCACTCCCGGCTTCGGGTCGACCCGTCGGTCTGATCTGAGTCAAGAAGCTGTGAAGAAAATGCACTTCTAGTCTTAGAGAACAAATAAAGAGGGATTTACTTTCTAAAATGCCAACATCTTTTTATTTNGTTCAATACATAACCAATGGAAAAAACCTTAAAAGCATGCACTTATCTTTTTTATAGCTGAATTTCAGGAAGTACAACGTCTCAAAACAAATGAAAAGTATGGGGAAGTAATAAAGCCGGATTTTTTTTATTTTTTTTTTTTGGGTGAATTCCCACTTTACACGGCTCGGCGAAAATCTGATGTTCAAAGACAGAGTCGACAAGCAATGGAAATATATATATATTTACTTGTTGATGTCACTTCTTCTTCACCGTCTCAGCTGATGCTCGAATCTTATGTTCCAGCATGCGGGCATGGATAATACTTCTTGGAATATCGAGTTTAAACTTTGTTTTGAGTGTTTTTCTTTACTTCTTCCTCATCAGTACCTTTGTTTGAACAATAAACTTCCTTGTGGAGGACACAAAAAAATATTTTTGGATGTTAACAAACAATGCCATCAGTTTTGAAAATTCGTACATGAAACTTGGGCAACATTTTACCACAGGAAATGTTGAAAGACACAAAGTATGTTGCCCCTCATAATTCTTACACTTTTATCTATGGAAATGTCTCCAAAACACAAAAGGTAGAAGCAACCTTCCTTCATTTAACTTTGAGAACCCGAAAATGTAGAGTGGATTAACTAATCGTGACGTGGCCTAGGACGTACTCCTAGTCCAGTCCTTATATTTGCCCCTAAAGTCTTCATATCTTCCACCTACAAAATTCACAAACAATTCATGTAAGGAAATTGCAACCACAATAACAATAAACACAAAGGAAAAGAGAGAACATAATGAGAAAAAGCATATATTTCAAATGTGACTGGCAAGGGCTGCAAAACAGCCTAGCTAATTCGAGCAATGACCTTATCGAGCTGTCCTAA